AATTCTTAATTATCCATTACGCGGACAAGCTTTTTCCTTTCCACCAATTAGCCTGCTGTAGTACATTCTCACTGCCTGCAGTTTGAGGAACAATACACCATGTTATGCGCATATCTATTCCTCCTGCGTTGCTTCCCACGTGGAAATCCGATGCCTGAATAAGACCTTTCATCGTCACCGTCGTCGTCATCGACATCGCTTGATGTGTCATAGTGATGGGAAGATCGTCCTCGATGCATCGCGTCTTCACGCTTCTATTCTAGCCGCAAATTATGCAACGCGCAGGTGGTTCCAATCCACGATATTTTCACGCCGTTTGACTATACACTTGCGTGACAGAACTTAACAAGAAAGAGTTTCCTCTGCACATATGTCGCGTTTATCGCCTCTTTCATACGAATGCGTCATCATGTGCTATAGAGATATTCTTCGAATGCTATAGAAATTTATAAAGTACATAAACAATTAAAATATCATAAACAATATTAAATAAAAAAAATTTTAACACCATAAATGTTGAAGTAAAAAAAGAATAAAGAATAAAAGTCTTTAACGGTCAAGCTGAATTTTAAAAGCATATTTAAATAATTTGATGTGAATTTATAAGAAAACTAGCAGCTCAAGAAATGTAACTTATGTAATTACATTTCTTTTAGTTGCTAGTTTTCTAGTTCACTGGAAGACTAGCATAATGATTGCTAAAAAAAAAGACAGATTATGGATCTAATAAATATAATGTTGTCAATGAACGATGCTCAAGTGTTATCGAGCAGCTCTCCTGGGGACTTCGCTCTCCGTGAAGGTGGTGGCTTTTCACGTCCGCGACTCGTGAAAGAGGAGTTAACGATAAGATAATTACCGGCTAGTGGCTGCTGCGCACCTATTGTTCGCCACCGATCCGGACGTACGGTGCGCACGATTCTTCCGACGGTTGTATCTAAACTTCGATGACTCATGAGCGCGCCATGCGCGGCGAATAACGTATGTAATAGAAAGTATGTTTTATCTACAAGAAATAAATCGAACCGGAATTTACGTTGCGAAATTGTGTCTAATTCTTGTGTGTGTATATATATGTGTATTATCGGAAATATAAATTCCTCCGTACGCAAAAACATTTCCCCGCGGCTCCATTTTTTATTAGTTCTACAAAGTGACTCACGGCGATATAAATTGATGGAACCAAGTACTATGGAAAGAGATATTAGTTAAACATTATTTTACATTAATTAATTTTTTTATTTTGCACTGTTACCTCTTTAATTCTTTTGAATGAAGTCACTGAAGTATACATACGTTAAACAATATTTTAAGAAAATATGTATTGGACTATCACATATAAATCGCCATTGCATTTAACTAAATTTTACTTTAAAATGAGGAAATATAGAATTTAAAGATTTATATAGCTTAATAACTCAATTTTCATCATTATATTTTGTTTCTTATAAACTTATTGTAAATTTTTCATTTAAGTACTTTCTATTTCTTTATTAAAGTAAAAAATGTTTAATCTTATAAAATTGTGTGTGTGTGTGTGTCATAATATTATCTTTTTCCATTTGGCGCGAGAAATTTAAAGATTTCATATATTTGTTTTTCAAAAATCAGTTTTAACAAAGTTATGTGAAAAATATAAAGCAACATTTATCATTTATTTAAATATTTTTTTGTGTACAGAAGTAAACTTTATATTCATATTGCAAGATACAATTATTTAATATTTTAATATTTATTGAATAACATATTATATATATAAATATAAAGTTATAGTAATGAAATATATGTATGACGTATGTGTAGAAATTTTCAATAATCGCAAGTTTGTAATTATTACTTTTGTAGAAATAATAAAACATTAAATAAGTAAATTAATATAATAAAGATTCGAATATCTTTTCAACAATAACAGAGTTTAGTGATATATTTGGATTCGAAAATATTTCTTCCCTATGTAAATATGGTAAAATAATATAAAATCATATTTTAATACGAGTAGTCCAATACCTAAAACTTACTAAAGAAACCCAGCGGAAAAGATCTAAAAATAAGAATTTAATCATTCTTTTATAATTTGCACTGTGTAAAAAAATTTAGGAGGATATAATCAGTTTCACATCAGTCATCTTGCCTATTTAGAGACGATGATGCTTTTTTTTTATAAAGGGCGCCGCGAATCGTCGAGAATGCTGCGATGTGTCAGGAGACGCGTTTGACTCATGCTGTGAAATTTAATAAATTGTTCATACCTATGAGTATCGAATTTTTAAATCGCTAGTTGGCAGTGGAGTTTGCGTTTCAAAATCAAAAAAGCATTCGACGCGTAGTTTAAGGGACTACGTATGTGAATATGAATTTATATACTTTTTCTTATATAATTCTATATAAATAAAATTATATAAGAAAATTTAAGATCCAGAGCTAGACCGTTAAAAAGCATTTATCTTCTATTGATCGTACATATGTATAGTCCTATGAGATATTTATTATTAGTTTATTATTATGAGTATTTAATCATTTTTATTATATCGCTCGGCATCTCTCCACGCGCAAGCATTATAAACACATTCAACCTCTTTCTTTTTCCTTTCGTTTGTCCTCTCGGAACTCTTTCTACGAACGTTCTTCTGCCTCATCAACGGAAGCGAAGGCGGAGGTGATGGTAGTGGCAAAGAGGACGCTCATGTAAGAGACACGAGTATCCTTCGAATTATATTATACGATCCGCAAGATCTCGGCTCGCAAAGTACGATCGCGAAGATCGATAGCGGATCGAGGAAAAAGTACGCTTCTCTCCTTCTCCTTTTGTACTCCACCGCGTACGTCAGGCTCTTCTTCTGACTCTTCGTTACGTGTTTATTTTGCAATTATTAAGTTCTCGTGCCTGGCATGCCGATGTACATCATCACCGATTAACGGACATCGGAGTTGTGCAAAGAAACAAGCGCCTAACATGGCGAAAGCTACCGAAGAACTGGCGGGCGTGAATGTGTTTACGTAGGTGCGCTCCTGTGTGTTGTCTAGATAGCATCTTGATAAAATATTGAAATTTCACTCTTACTAAATCCGTTCGTTTTATCTACGTTAAAATAGAGAGACCGAGAAAAAACAGTGAAAAACAATGTTTTTGTCTATTTCGAAATAACCTGACGCATGAAATTTGAACTTAATGTGATGTAAAATCGTAGATTGAGACGTTGGAAGTCAAAGTGTTGCGTTATTGCGAATAAAACGCAATATGACGGCAAGGTTACGGCACTCATGCGTCTTCTTCCTGTCGATTCTTCGTATAAGTGAATCAATCTTCACATGAGCTATTTCCCACGCGTCTTCGCGAACGGGTGAATTAACATACGACCGGACAGGCAGTCAATCGTGCAATCTGCATGTAAACGTTTCTACTTTTCCCTTTTCACCTTTTCGTCTTTTTTTTGAATAAATCTTTCCTCCGTTCAATTCTTACGTGTTCGCGCGCCGAAAAAACCGTTACTCAAGCACGATTTTTACAAATCCATGTGAAGATCTTCACTCCTTGTCGTTCTTTGACAGGCAAAACTTTCACTGTTTATCTTCTCACTTTTCAGAGAAGAGATTACGTGATCGATGCCTTCAAATATAATAGAATATATGTTATACGTGTTTAAGATAAAATTAATTTTATAAAATTACGAATTTACAATTCTCTTTATATTTATGCTTTTCAATTCCTGTGTATGGAAAAAAAAAACGGTTTTGTTAAAAAATAAATAAATACAGATCTGATAATAATTTGTTGGATATCAGAATAATCATGTTAAACGCTTAAGCATTGATGACAATGTTATAAAGTTTTAACATTCTAGCAATCAGTTTGAGTGTCCTGATTATTTTGATCTAACCAAAATTATTTTCATATCTGCATCTAAACTTTGAAAAAATTTACCTTAAAAACCCTTAAAATTTATTGTAAAAAAAAACTTTAAATGTCTAACAATGTAAGAAAAATGAAAGGTAAATATTTGAAGAATATGAAAGGTAAATTTGGACATTTTTTATTTTTTTTTATACGAATTTAAATCGATGGAGAATAAATCTAATTAATACAAAAATTCCTACATTCTATCAGAGTAAAATCGCAATGCTGAAATATTTTTGTACAAATTAATATAGATACATATCTGATTCTGCATACTGTGCGCCGAAATCTTTATATCGGTCTTGAAACGCCATCATGAGTAGAAATAGTATATCACTTCATTAAATTGACAAGCAATTTAATAATACTTTTAAGGCTTTCACGAGCATTATCTTCAAAGATATCAGAAGGATTGCATTATTTGCGGATTATCATCGTGTTTTTATCCATTGTTAATGTTATGGCGAAACCCGCAAACCTTCTGGTATCTTTGAAACAATTAAATACTTTTTATGTTAATAAGCCTTTTTTGTAAAAAAAAAATGAATTATATCTTCTATATAATAATCAGATGTTAAAGAGAATCTTAATATCTGCGAATAATTTGCTGCGAAATATCACTTCAGCCAGGGTTTGAACCTAGAATTCTCGACTTTCCGAGACGGGCATACTAATTCGATCCAGATTTCGATAATATTTGGAAATATTTTTAGCGCGTAAAATATTATTAAATTGTTTCTTTGGATACGGATCCCGAGAAAATACAATTGCTGACCGATCGTTCCGATCGGCAATTGAGATCTAAGATCAGTTGTAAATAACAAAGTTCATCGTTCGACTTTCAGATCGGCCTCACTGAAGTGAGCAGGAGTGATCGGACTCGCCCATGCCGGGCAGAGCGGAAGGACGTGGAAGTGGAAGTGGCAATAGCAGTAGCAGGTGGATCTCAGGAGTTTGCGAGCAAAAATCACTGATAGAAGACGCGGACACGTGACATTGTAAAGGGCGTGTTATTTTTTTTTTTTTTTTT